GGTGGCTGTTTTCCAGAGAATCAGCCCACGAGGCATATTGGCATGAAACAGTCCACTGACGTTTCGATACATAGGTAGGTAGGTAGGTAGGTATGGAATTTTGAAAGTTGCTTCAAGCCTTGACTAGGTACCTAGGTAGTTGCTTGCTGCGAGTGCGCGGCACTGCTGTACCAGAAACATACCGTCATGTAAGCCAAAGCCCTAAAATAACTCGGTGAGCATGGGGGCAGGGGAATCTTTCGTACGCTGCGTTAAACTCCGAGCGCAGCGCCGAACCTACATACGTATCTCATCGCATGCTCGCCTTAGCTGTTCGTAGGTTCGTAGGATCAATAGGTACCTACGTAGGTAGGTAGGAATACGGTAGCAGTGTGCTGCCGCGAAGAACGTACTAGGGGGTATAAAATGAATGTACACAACGGGTAAAAACAAAGACCATTTACAATCCATTTAGGTGGCTTAGCTAAGGTAATATAAGTCGTCCCAAACTTTTCGAGTATCCGGATCTGGGAATCTCGCGCGCCATCTGTGCTTCAGATTGTACTGTACCGTTGCACTTTCGGAGCCGTTACCGAGAGGATCCCCCTTTTCCCTCACTGATCAATGACTAAAATGATGGGATACCACATACAGGTAGTGTTATCTACGGCATCCCTATCGAAGATCAAGTCTGGTTCAATTCAAGCCTTGTGCAGTCACTGCAGTGCAATCAATGCGTAGGCGCTCATGATTGAGATATTCTACGAATCCAGGCGGCTGGAAACGGTAGATCTTCCATACAGTGTATGTCTCTAGCTTCTAACTAACATGGCTTTCCATGTGGCATCTTCCCAATCCGTTGATCTGGAACTGAAGACCGAGCTGCCGAGTGAGTTACTTTACATAACGTGAAATTTAATCTTTGGATAGGTAGGTACGTATGCCACTAAGTCTAGGTAGGTAGTCGTCACGTACATAAGTTAGAGAAAATCAAACTTTGGACGGGCTTAGGGACCGAGATTGAGTTTACGTTGAAAGCACGGCACGCTCCCTTGGCAACGTTGACAATCGGCACCTAGAGCAGAATTTAGAAATATGCTCAACGCCATCGATTAGCTCGTCTGATGTCAACATCAGACGACAAACCGACCCGTTGCTGGCGCCTCACAATTAGCTTTTGGCTTTTTGAATTGGAAGCTGGGGTAGTTGACCCACCAGTCCGGGGCGAGCCAAAAAGTTACCTGGTCATTTACAATGTTGTTGGTTCGTTGGTTCGTTCTACAAACTGATGGTTTGGTTTTTTGGTTGTTTTTTAGTTTCGATCCAGTCTACATCCAACATCGTGATAGGCCGTGTCCAGATCCATTGCATGGTACGTGGAACAGATATGTACGGCCGAAACCCTGTCAGTCCTTTCTACTGGGAATACTGACTCGACAAAAGAAATCTGGTCCTCGTCACTGGGAGTGGTGAAACCGCTCTTCATAGGCCAAAGGAACCAACGCCGTGCGCCACGGAACCCGAGCTAGCGGTACCAGTTGCTTCCAACATGCTGTGCTTGCTTAGCTGGCAAGGGATTCCTCGATCAGTCGGGCAGTAGTAACCTTGACTCGCTCACTCAAAGGCCGTCAAACGTCAAAGGCCGACGATGATTGTCAGACCTGTTAGACCATAAGCACCTAATGTTGGGTTTACATCGTCTCAAACCGCCACGCTCTGAAACTAGGTTATGCAAGCGCATTTGCCCTCGGTATCTATCTACCTAGTCCACGTGTATATGTCTCGAAGCGCCGCCTCCACTTGCCCTCGTGTGCCGGGCTATCTCGGCGTCTAACCGAATAATATCTGCCGACGCATACGTCTTGTTAGCATGGGGATGGAAACCTCCGTCATTTATGACAGAACGTTGTTGGTAAAGCTTAGTTTGGTAGATCGATCCGGGACCATGGCTTCTGTTTTACCAATCACTCGGTGATGTATATGGAACCTTGCGTATATCCTGCAGAGTTATTAACATATATCTAGATAATGGTCTCTTATCAATCATGGCCATGTTCCATCAGTAAAGGAAAACAGTGTTATTGCTAAAAGAATGGTAAGCTTGGTGTTCAATCGGTATTCTACGATCCACAAAGTCCTGGCGCTTTATGGTAGTCTCCGATTAGGGTGTATCATGATCGTACCAACTTCTGGAAAAGAATCCGAGTTATTTGACTCTGCCATTGTTTTCGGGACCGTTGGTTATACCTAGCCTCGCCCTAGGTAATCTAATCGCGATCGAATGTCACAGGGAGCAGCCCAGTCACTAGGTACCTAAGTCTTATAGAACTCCGAGTCCTAGGTTCCTATGGAACTCGCGCCGGCTACCTGCAGAAAGGTGCCCTTATAAGTTACACTAACAAGATGCTCGATATGACTGGCTGTCTTCTTTTCTCGTCTGCAGTGTAGCCTTATTCGCCTCTTCTTGTAGCAATAAAAGGTGCCGGTAGGGTGTGTAACCTCCACGGACTACTTATTCGGCTCTTTCACAACAGATTAGAGACAATAGCATATACCTAACCGTCTCACACAAGGAGGTGAGATTCCGTCCGGTGGTTATTTAGGTGAAGACCATGACCTGATCTCGACAACATCGCCTGACGGACAGTCGAGCATCTGTCCCAATAATGCCACCAGGTATTTGCCTATGAATCAAACACAGGCCCGGCAGGTTTTCAAGGCCGACGTCGGTTGCGGCATTTCTTAACAACTCTTCTGTGCCCAAATCGCTCTACCTGGTGTCCGAGATGCGGCACGACTGGTTACACCAGATTGATTTCCATTATGCAGAGCCAGGGAGGTATTGCTAGATGCGATCGTGTCTTGACTTTGAAGGCACGAATAACTGTCGAAAAAGCTAATGTAGCTAGAAATACTTCACTGGCAGAAAGCGCAGCATCACGAGAGTATGTTTCTCACCTCAAGCAACGAATAGGAAGTCGAATCACCTTGATGCTCTTCCAGAGGCCTAGGCCTTATGGATATCTGCATCTCTTGGGTTGTACGGTCCTCTCGGTAACCGAAACCAGTTTGTCACACGCTGGTTTGGCGGTCAAACAATGCTTTCATTCGACACATTTCACATGTCGGGCTTCAGTCGGCCACTAGAGCGCAAGATAAAAGTCGAGGACGATAAATCGTTTTTTTAATGTGTCGAATCGGCGATCTCGACGACCTCATCCTACCTAGGGTCGTAATACAACATTTAATAAGGCCCTAAGGAGTCATTCAAGTATATTATGTGTCACGCTGTTTCTTGGAGCGTTCAAGGCAAGCTGGTGATTGTTCTGTTTGTCTAGGTAATGTGGGTAGGTAGTAGAGAATAAGTTATAGGAGCGTGTCCCTTTGTTATTAATGGATGCCTATGCAGGTACCTTCCGGTTGTCAAGAGATGCAGATAGTCTTAGGACAGAGGAATCTCTTATGAGCCATAATCATGCTCTCCTCACTCCCTTTTCCTACTCCTGCCACCATCCCCTGCCCGTCCCATCTTGATTTTGTCCCCTTTTCTCGCCCTGCGCCGTCCCAACGACACTGTACAGAACACTCAAGCTCCTCTGTTGCCCCTGCTGTTGCCCCTGCTGTTGCCTCTGTTGTTGTCCTTGCCTCTGTATGCTATTCTTCATATTGTTCCTTGACCGACGCGGAATCAGCTGCTGCGGCCACTCGAAGACCGGCGTGAGCCACCTCTCCGGGACCAAGGAGGAGCCGGTTGTGGTGCGCCGTCCTCGGGGCACGATGATGTACTGCCAGCAGTGAGCGCAGACGCAGACCAGCGTGACGAGTATAACGGTGCAGACTATGCCCACGGCAATCGCTGTTATGAAGGCCTTGGGGAAGTTCTCCGGCACGTCAACTCCGTCTTTTTGTTGTGCGCGGCCCGATGCCACGAATAGGAGAAGGTAGGCGACGGCCAGGTTGAATAGCGAACCCATTGTTCGGACTGTGGCAACGACTTGGTTTTCCCTCGGATGGAATGTGATGAAGTTATCGGTCTTTCTCATTAGACAGCTTTGAGGCGATAACAAGTGAGCAGGCCGGAGAATCGTCTTAGAGAATGGGCGATCGGTGGCGTCCATCGCATGCAAGAAAACGCCCCCGGAGCTAGAGCGCCTGCGCTCCTCGAGGTCTGAATAATTATTGAAGTAATACATATCTCCTAATTCTGCTCTACCTCGTAACGACGATGCAATGCTTACCGACAGTGTGCCGGATACGAGAGAGAAAACAGGATGTTGCAAAACCTAATCGACTACCGGATCGCGGCATATGCAGCTCTGGAGTTGGCATAAGTTTAAATCGAGGCAGTTTTGACTTAACCACCACAGCGCTTGAAATCTGTATGGTTTCCGGTCCCTAGGGAATTCCTAACACATCTTGCCATGTCTCGTATTTCAAGGCTCATAGCAATAGTTCATGGTAACAGCGTTGCCTTGATACTGGATAACTACCACACAAGCGGCTGTTATAGAGCTTCTATCTGAGTGTCATAAACCATCTGAACATATGACCACTTATGCACTTGAAATTTAAATTTAAATATCTAGATGATGCAGAAGTCCTGAATGTTTTTATTGAAAGAAATGTATGTGATGCCATCATATCGACAGAATAAGGAGGCCGAGCCAGCCAAACCCTTGAATCGTCTTTTAAACACGGACTTGCACAAACTGAGAAGCAATAAAAAATAACTGCATGCATTTTCATTTAATAGTTAATAGTGGTAGGAAGAAGAAAAAAGTTCATGGTTGACAAGTCAAATAGCCCGGCCACTTTTGTGAGGAGGAAGTTCTCGTTTGCCGTTTACGCTATGACTGGTAATTGTATGCACAGTGGAGAGCTTGAGGCTAAACAGGGCATGACCCGCATTTATCTAACCCTAAAGAAGCGAAACCACCAATTAAATAACGTAGTGTAAATCACACACCAGCGAGCAATGCTTCATATACTGTCTTTCCAAAAGGATCAGCCAATAACATGTGGCGGGGATAGCTCAGTTGGGAGAGCGTCAGACTGAAGTCCAACTTCAGGAATGACATCTGAAGGTCGTGTGTTCGATCCACACTCACCGCACTACTCCTATTTTTGCCATTATTTCCTTTGATTTCCTTCTCTTTTTGTCCTTTGGGACAAAACATGTTCGTTCGTCTACCTATATTGTCCTCATTCGTGTTGTCGACTCATCTCACAGCCACTCAAACGGTAGAGCTGTGATCAGGGCAAGTGACCTGGATCTACGTAGCATCAACGAGTTTCATGGTTTTATTGATAATCGACTATGAAGTCTGGTTGATTTTTTATACTACAAAGCAAATAGCAATCCTACCTAGTCACCCTCTCTGTTTGATAGGTGTGTGTGCCTTGTGGACTAGATTTATCCCTACGAAGATCACTCATCGTTGTTAACGTGCTATCTATATGGTCATCGACCTAGACCTACAAAACTTCTCTCCTCCTTTCTCTCCTCATACCTGTCATGGTTCAACACGCCCTTCTCCATCTATAGTGTCACTAAACACAGTTAGATGGTATGATGTTTATAAGTCCTGGGAAGAGAGAGAGACTATGCGAAACGTATAGATGTTCATTGTTTAGATAACCACCACCACTACTTCATCGCACAGCTAAGCCAGAATTGATACAGAAAAACAGCGAAAGGGTATTTTATTCTCTAAGCGACACTACCATTACGTATTATTAGGTCCACCCACATCATCCTTCCTTCCTATCTTTCTCCGCCAACGCCCATGAACGCGATGGGTATAATAAGCTTCTCATCCAACTTGCCGGAAAAAACGAGCGAGGGGGTATAATAAAACGCGACCGTCCAAGATCCCAGATCCCAAAATCCAGACCACAGGGGCCGTGTTTTGTTGTTTCGTCATGATCATCAGATATCGTTAAAGAGCGACAGGCCTAGCCTAGTATGTATGCGCTTGACACCAATCCAGCTTGGGCGAGGGTATGTATGTATGTGAGTATGCAAGAGGAAGATCGTCCAACTTTCGCGGAGAGACCAGCCAGCGACGTTCAACGCGGGGGCAAAAGTGGTGAAGATCTAGCCTATACAGCTATACTCGGGTATATTTACGCGGCCTGCTCACCGACGACCGGCGGTGCCGCGGCGGCCGGGGCAGTGGCAGTCTTCTCGGGGAATTCACCACCGTGGTGGACGCGGCCGTAGCGGGTGAAGGCGATGTTCAGCTTGCCGTAGTCCCACTTGCGGGAGAGGACGACGAAGACGAAGGCCAAGACGGGCACCAACAGCACGTCCAGGATGCCGAAGAAGATGTAGCCGGGCGTGACGCCGATGCGGTTGCCGCCGTCCGACAGACCCCAGGCGATGGGGTACAGGAGCCACAGGAGGTTGACCCAGCCAGACAGGAGGGTGTGGTCTCTGGCAACCTCGACGCGCCTAGCAGAGACTGTGCCGCCGAAGAGAGTGCTGACGGCGAGAAGGATCCAGGCAGTCGTGCCGAAGGCGAAGAAACCCCACTTGTACTGGGAGGTCGTGAAGGCGGAGACGAGGTAAGAGATAACCCTACTCTATGTTAGCTCTATTCCTCTTGATAGGTGTATTGCTATTATAATTACTAACCAGGTCCATGACAGAGCAACGTTGTAGACAATAGTAGCCCAGGACACACCGCTCAACAAGCCGAGAGCAATGGTGATGACGGGGAAGCTGACAACCCAGTTGACGTACTCGGCCCAGAAGATCTGGCGGGTCCACGAATCGACAGGCTTCTCGTTGACGACCTCGACGACCTTGAAGGCCAGGTCGGAGGCGATGGCGAAGTAGGTGATGGAACCGACGAGCAGGGCGATGGTGAACAGGTAGTGGAAGATCTTCTCGCCGGATCGGGCCACGAAGCTAGTCGCGTAGAAGGTCAGGAAGGAGACGACGTAGATGGCCGTGACCGCCCATAACCAGTCGCTGCCGTTGACGCTCAGCGCCTCGTTACCCGCGGGAGGGTTGATCGAGAGCGCCGCGTTGGTGCGAGGCAATAAGATCGCCATTGTGATACTAGTTGATTAGCTGGTTGGGTGGCTGATTGGTTGGTATATCTACAACTAGGCAAGCCTAAGTGGTTCGGAAACGAGGAGGCTTCGCTTTCCAAGATGTCTTATATAACCTTTGGATTACGATGGTTGCTGTGATTCGCTGTGGACCTGATGAGCTGAGACAAGGCGAGTGGGAAATTCAACGACGGGACGAGGCTCGTATTATAGAAACAAACCCCTCCCTTGCAACTAGTATAGCACGTCGAAGATCGAATGCCGCAGAGGCCGTAGAGTTGCAACCTCCCATCGCGAAGGTCGGAGACCGGTTATTGGCGACGACTCCATGCGGCCAAGGCCTAACAAAGATGGACTAAAACCGAGATCCGCACGATGCTATTCCTGTTCGATGTGATCATATGATCCAACTACCACATCGAAATTTTTTGGCGTGGAAGCTTCCACAGCTCCCGGTAGGGTGTGGGCAACGGATCACGACGGAATCATGGTGATGTGTTTGTGGCATGGGATAGGCTACATTCTGTTACCCACTCGGAGCTGTACTCGGAACCAGGAGAGCACGGAAGCTAATGGAACGAAGGGGTAGTATCAGAAGACCTCCCAAGACGGAGAGGTCGACATGCAGTGTGGAGCTTTTGTGATACATGGTTCTCGAGCCAATATGGTCGACGATCCTTTCAGCCCTAATGTGGGGAAAGGCTACGGGACTCAATACCATAGTAGCTTAGCTATCTATCACAAGAACGTGGCGCCTTGTCATCGGTGCCAAGACGTATATTTGTAAGTATTGCTTTGTTGAACAATCGCGAAATATGACCACCCATTGTTCTGGTCCTTAGTAAGGCAAGATAGGGACCGCTAGGGTCGTCTTACAAATGACACCTGGAGCTTGAGGAGACAGAGGATCTTGTTCAACAAAGGAGCGCGTCAACTAACGCTCGGGTATGGTCAGCAAAAAGCAAGGAATGGCTTCGGTAATCGGTATTCGCGGACGAGATGCCAACAGCAGTTTGTTAGTCCTGTGTAGCACTCAACGAAGCCGCGACCCATTATGCAGGATAGCGACATTGCAGGCATGTAGTAGTCGAGTGGCGGAAAGCTTGTCACGGCAGCATCGGATGAGCTTACACAAAGCACAAGATGCACGAATCGAAAAAATTTGGCAATGATAGGTGCCCACCGAAAATGCTCGACCACGTTCGGTCTGGAAGAGGAAATGGACAACACCAAAAATGATGCTAGCATCGAAGGTCGTGAAAACAATGCCGGCGCTTGCAGGGGATACTATGTAGCTTTCGACCATTCGCAGCTCCGACTAATGCCGGTAGACGAGTGACGAGCTGGGCAGATGCAGAGTGGCGTCGACTTGACGTGACGTGACGTGACGTGATCGTAGTGTATGTAATTAAAATGCACTTCGAGATGGAACTGCTCGATATATTACCCACCCCAGCAGCATCGTCTGCGCCTGCCGGATACTGCAGAAAGTTCACGCAAAGAATTTCTCATCTTTCGTTTACCGAGCTGCGACTTTACGCCAAGATTGTTTGGTCAATTGCTTTCCTAGCTGTTCGAGCTGCTCATCATTACTCTGAAGGTCAAGGTCCGGAGTTGCCTCTAGCAGTGGAAAAGGAGGGGTGAAGAGAGCTGCTGGACCACTGAGAGCCTCAAATTGCCCGCAGCTATTACTCCCCCGGCTTCCACGGAACCCACCTCGCTCACCATGCGTGGTAGATGCAACGCTATACCTGTCTGAGATGGCGATCGGCCTTGCAGGTGTCATGCCACCATTCGAGGCTTTTTTCCCTTTCAGATCAGTCATCGAATGGACTCGAAATGAGCTAATACCCGGCAGAAGATCGTAGAATTGTGAGTTTGTTTGAACGACCTCCCTACATTAACCGTCGTTGGATAGGACTAGAAACTCCGGATTCTTCGGCAGTCGCCGACTAATAATAACTTGACCAAGCAATTAGCAGATCGTCTGTGCGTATCTCATTCGATCGTGAGATTCAGGTTTTGCTTATTAGTCAATGGATAATAATATGAAGTTATGTAATATATCCGGACTTACACGACCCAAAGCAGCTGTGCTCAACTCAGACAGTCAGGCAGTCTAGGTCGATGTGATCGGAAGCCCGGAGCTCACAACTGTGTAAAACTATCGATCTCTAATAATATAAGCAGGTTGGCTCCTCTTCGATCTTGATCCTTGAGGCAGATTTGCAGCGTTCTCCTCATTGCTCATCTTTTTCATCTACTTCTGCATGTGGCATTGAGGCGAGCTCTCACTCGCTCAGACATGGACGAGAGATGCAGTTGCTGAATCATCGTCCAAACTACGACCACCCATCATCAAACCATGTCACTTGTGCCACCCACGCCACTCATACCATTGGCTCGTTGTTGTATCACTTAGGTAAGAGATACCTCAATTTTGCATCTTCGCCCGGCGAACCTAGTCCGGTCCTATGGCGTAGCATCGTTTTTTACCTGTTGTACGGGCGGATTGACCAGTGGCCCCAAGTGGAAAAAGACTATCCTTTTATCTTCACGGTTATCTCTATTAGACAGTATAGAATATACGTGCCATGCAGGTCCCCCACAATAGCTATAATCAACGCCAATAGCCGCTGCTGAGCATTAGTAGAATTATCGAGTTCAATGAGACGGAGGCCAAGACCTAGGTAGTGAAATCATTGCATTGTACAGTTCCTTGCAGTATTCTACCTAGTTGGGATGGGGGGTTTGTTGATAAGAGGGTGGATGAGGTATTTACACTTTGTAGGTAGGCTTAGTATGCCTCCTGGAACGCCTGTACGCCGACGATACCTCCTATGATCCACCTGGATATATGCATACCAAACAAACAAACAAAGCCTCCGCATACTACCAAGCATTAACCTCCTATGCGTCGTTGTGAATCGTCGTTGTATCCATCGTTACATCCCTAGCCAGTCGACGTCGTCGTCGTCGTGGCCTGCTTGAGCATACTCCTAGTAAGCTGGCTTCATTTGCCACAAAGCAGACCTTGCTCGCTCGCGGACGTC